ATTATTAAAGCCTGTGTGGCAAAAGTCTTAATTTTTCGGTGAAATTATTTGGTATGCCACAAAAACTCAAAGACAGTGACACCGGAATATTTGTTTATAAACACAAATCCATAACTAAACACACTTTAATGAAGTACAGCATACAGTTTGCGATTTTCTGTTTTTATTTATTAATTTCAACAGGAAAATATATTATATTTTTCGAGTACGGTGCCTTTTTCCCAGAAATTCATAAGAACTCGTTTCAGTAGCGGCACTTTCTGACGGCTGCTCTACAATTTTGTCTGCAATTCTGCATACTTTGGAGAGTGATGATTCGAACAGACAACTTACGCATATGTAATATACTATTGCACTATAATAAAATTAGATTGGAATCCAAGAGGCTTATACCATTTTGAAAATATGTACAAGAAATGGCTAGAAATTCAACAATTCACTTTGTTGTTGCCTGACATATAATTTGTATGCTGTGAACAGAGTATAATATATTAAGTGTACCACGAGTTTTGTAACACCTAGAAGGAAACATCAGATATCCTACAAAATATATGAATTTAATTAAGAACATGTTAAGTTAGTTGATTACCGACGTCAGTCTGTTCATATATACGCAAGATAGTCCCACAGCTTCTGAGTTATTGATTTGAAATTTTGTACAAGTTTTTTTGTTACCAATGATATCGGTCCACTATAGCATATATAGATGCCATACAAAGTCAACATTTTTTTCTTAGTTCCGAAGTGCTTGTATAGGGAAATTTTTCATTTGACGTTATATTTTCATGAAATTAGGCAAGGCTTATTTTCTGAGACGATTATGTAATCTGCGAAGAAATTATTCAAATCGGATGAATATAGCACATAGCCATGCCATACACACTGAACGATCAGAAATAGTTCTTGTTAGGAATAGTTTGTTTTTGTGGGGTATTTTATAACATATTATTTGCAAAATAATTATTTAGACGAACTTTTCTTCATCGATTTAAAAACGAAATGCACTAGTGGCCACGCAAATCTTCCTTTTTACTTTTTGCGGCACACAATTTTTATACTCTCGCAACAAGTTGCTAAAGAGAGTATTATAGTTTTGTTCACATAACGGTTGTTTGTGAGTCCTAAAACTAAAAGAGTCAGATATAGGGTTATATATACCAAAGTGATCAGGGTGACGAGTAGAGTTGAAATCCGGATGTCTGTCTGTCCGTTTGTCCGTCCGTCCGTGCAAGCTGTAACTTGAGTAAAAATTGAGATATCATGATGAAACTTGACACACGTTTTTCTTGGATCCATAAGAAGGTCAAGTTCGAAGATGGGCAAAATCGGCCCACTGCCACGCCCACAAAATGGCGGAAACCGAAAACCTATAAAGTGTCATAACTAAGCCATAAATAAAGATGTTCAAATGAAATTTGGCACAAAGGAACGCATTAGGGAGGGGCATATTTGGACGTAAGTTTTTTGGAAAAGTGGGCGTGGCCCCTCCCCCTACTAACTTTTTTGCATATATCTCGAAAACTACTGTAGCTATGTCAACCAAACTGTATAAAGTCGTTTCTCTTAGGCATTTCCATATACAATTCAAAAATGGAAGAAATCGGATAATAACCACGCCCACCTCCCATACAAAGGTTATGTTGAAAATCACTAAAAGAGCGGTAACCGACTAACAAAAAACGTCAGAAATACTAAATTTTATGGAAGAAATGTCAGAAGGAAGCTGCATCCAGGCTTTATTTAAAGATTGAAAATGGGCGTGGCGTCGCCCACTTATGGACCAAAAACCATATCTCAGGAAGTACTCAACCGATTTCAATGAAATTCGGTATATAATATTTTCTTAACACCCTGATGACATGTACCAAATATGGGTGAAATCGGTTCACAACCATGCCTGAAATCTCGATTATCGCTTTATCATGCGAGAGTATAAAATGTTCGGTGACACCCGAACTTAGCCCTTCCTTATTAAGAAGGTTTTTTATTAAGAAATAAGTTAATGACATGTTATTTATCAATAATACTAAAGATTAAATACAAATAGCAGATCTCGTATAACAAATCAGCTTTAGATAAATCAATTGAAAGTTAGCGGGCTTTACAAAATGAGCTCGTAATGTAAGAGACTGACATGCAATGAAAAATTTTATTTTTTATTTTTTTAATTTAATTTAATTTACACTATATTTGAAATTAATATTTTATTTTATTATTTTTTAATAGAAACACGAAGTTTAGCAGCTGTATCACTTTAAAAACAATAAAATCGGCCGCTTTTGTATAAGCACAGAAAAGCTAATTTGTGCTTTACTCATTAAACGTAATAAATTAAAAACTATAATGGTAATTAGATAATACAATTTAGTTTACTTATGCTTACTAAAACCATAAAGAGAAACAAAATCGAAGAAACCCTCGAACGAACGAAAAAGTCTGAAAAAAATTTAAGACCATATAGTGGTAAGGTTTGCGTGGCCACGAGAGTATGTTAAAGGAAAACTTGAACCAAACTTATTTGAACTCAACATTTTACTAGAAAATTACATATAAACAACCAAAAAAATTACCAATGAATGTTTAAATATTATTTATTATTCTCCTACATACGTATGTTCCTTTAAGAAATTTATACTGTTATTGTCATTTTAACTAATTTAAAGTTACGGGTATTGGGTTAAGTTCTAAGGAAAGTTATCTGATACTTGCGCACACTTAAAGCATGAAAAGTAATTAATAGAATGTTAACTTGCGACAAGAAGCCGCTGCGCATAGGCCTGATGAACTTCACCCGGGTTTAGTGCTGAATGCTAATTTTACTGGTGATTATTTGCATCACTTTACCGATTTTCGTTTAATGGCGCGGCAGTGGTCCGATTTCGCCCCCAGCCACAGCAATTTCCCTTAAGTGCTCAATGTTTTTACTCACAACTACATACAAGTCTTCACAAAAGTATTCTGAGAAATAATTAAAAGAAAAAAATTGCCTGCAGCAAAAACACTTTGATGGAAAAATTCGGCGAATTTATATCAGAAAAGTATTCTACAAAATATATAAATTAAAGCTAATGTTACTTTAAATAAATATCGGCTAATATTGTGATAAAAAAGTACGCGGTAATTGTAAAAAAAAAGCAAAATATATAATTATACATCAATATTTATTTTGTCGCCATCGAAGTAATCCCCACCAGATGTAATACACTTATGTTAACGATTTTTCCAGTCTTCGAAATACTTTACATAAGCACTTTTTGGAATGGCCTTCAGCTTCTTCAGCGAATTTTGTTTTATCCACTGAAAACGGGTTCCACGGAGCGGCAATTTCAGTTGGGTATTTGCATTAGAACGAACAGTCGGCGGTCGTCCAGAACGAGGCATGTCTTCAATGATCTCTTGACTGCATTGAGAATACTAATATTTTTGTTCGCTCTGCAAATATTTTTTAATTTTTTAATTTTAATTTAATTTTAATTTAATTTTTTAATCTTTGAGAACTATTTCTTGGAGGTCTGTTTTGGAAAATGTGTTGTTTTTGCGGATAGCTTCTTCCAAATACGCTCAAAAGTGCTCAATCTAAGTAAGATCCGTGGACTAAGCATATCGGCGTGCCCATAACTTTTTGAGTGTTGTACAATATCCACAGCTTCGCATCGTGAATTGTATGGCTTCGGTTAGTTATTCTGTTGAGAATTGTAATGACCGAAAAATTCGAATTTATCCGTGCTAACATTTCAGTTATTTCCATTTATATATCAGTGAATATGAAGTTTAATATTACCAATACCGTTTGCTCACAATAATGCATTTCCTCTCCCGTGCTTAACCGAACATATTTTGTTTTTCCTTCGCATTTCGCCATTCACCTTTCGGCAAAATTTTTTGTCTTAAAAAGGTTCAAATATGTTGAGATTCTTTTCGTCAAAAAAAATTACTTTCGATCAAGCCTCGATACCATATATAACATATTTACTATATTTTTTTTTCACTTATAAGCGGCTTCCTTCGTTGAGTGCGCTCCTCATAGCCGGCCAGTTTCATCGCTGACACTTATCCCCACATACGGAACGAGGCTTTAATGAATTTCTAGAGCTGGAGTGCATATACCTCTTTGATCGCTGCCCCAACTTCAGCGAATTTTTCTTCAAACGGAGCTGTATGAAAGCCTCTATTAGTTATTTTTGACATCTCCCGTTATATTTTGTTTTCCTTCTCGAAGATTAAAAATTACTTTTTCAAAACATGCAAGAAACTTAATTTTCGAATAATTTTGTGATATTGGTTTGATCGAGTGTAGTATACTACTAAAATAGTTTAAATCCATATTTCGGTTCAAAATAAGTTTAGATTTTTTTTTAAATCAGAGTTCAATTTTTATTTGAATAAAACAAAGTTGCCAAAATAAAATTCTGCAAACCAGAAGTCTTTCGGGATTATTTTACTGAAAAATATAATATTCAAAGAATTCTGTGAAATATTGAAGCGAGCTTTGGGAGCCACTGTATTTAAATGAGGATGCTTCTTCAATTTGTGAATAATTTGGGACTCCAACTCAGAAAAACTATGTCATGAGAGCATTACTTTGAAGGAGATGAAACGGCCAAATTCACTTTTCAATTGATCACAGTAGTACATAAGTGAATTCGAACCATTTAAGGCAAAAGTGCAAACAAGATTAGTTTTTCTTTCTTAAATGTTTTCACGTGTTCACTTTCGTACCACTGCAAATGATTAAAAAATACAGATAAGATAATACATACATACGTATAGAATTACAAAGCAAACAGGCAGCATAAATACTTACGTATGTTTGCATGTGTGTCAACGACAGAACACATTTACTGCAACAACAATGCAAACGTTGCTGCCGGTCAAGCATGAAAACAAAATTAGCGATAAATAACACAAAAGCGAGCAAAGCTAATGTTTATACGCGGCTCAGCGTAATTTAAGTCGCTGATAAGCAGCGGAACTGGCGACCGCAGCGTTAGCTCCGCCAAAGTACAAATGAAGCGTTGGTCAGCCAGCGATTGAGTTCGGTGATTTAGTGTGTGACTGCGAGTGACAAAAGACGTTGGTACAGTGAGCGAACGTAGTGTAAATCCAGACCAAAAAAAAAAAAAAAAAAACAAGAAAAAAATGTTTTCGCACACAAATCGCTGTCTGCTGCTGCTATGCGCAATAACAGCGATAATAACAACAGGCAGCGCAGCAGTGCTGGTCACTACGCGCAGCATTGCGAAAATCTCGCCGGAAATCATCAACGAGCTAAAAGACTTTCTCGATTTGATACCCACAGCCACGGTGGACGAAATCGTCGCCAAGCACTACATCACCGATTCGAATTTCCGCGAAGTCTTCAAATATCTACGCGGCACGCAATTTACAGCACTGCTGCAGCAAGCTCAGCAAATACCGGAGGTTATAGACGTACTGGATTATTTGCATCTGCTTGTGCCTAACGCACAACAACAGCCCGCATATGGCCGCGCCGATGCCGGATCATCCAAGGTGCAGCTGTCGTCGGAACCGCAGCTCAGCTTTGTGCTGCTCAATGACTTGGCGGAGGAGAACGAAGTGCTGCCACGCGAGGTGGACGAGGGAACTGTGTCAACGTCATCACCACCCATCCTGCCACCATTTGCGCGCCACTTACGCACGTTTAACAGTTTTGTTGAGGAGCTGTTGGGTCACTTGCCGCACGATCGATACGTGCAACTGATTAATCAAAAGCGTCAGCAGAATCTGGCATTCGCGCAATTTTATGCAGCATTGCGCAGCGCCGAACTGCGCCCCATGGTCGATGCAACACTGGTAAGTACCCACCTAAGCTATGAGCGTTGGTGCGCCTGGTTTACTATAGCAAATTGAAAAGTTTTCGCTTCATCGCTGATTTGTTTTCGCTACTATTTTTTTCTTGTCTGCCATTGAACTCGCTCACGTTTTGCATTTTGCAGAAATCTTCTAATTTGACGTCAATAATTAAAACGCTGACTGCGAATGGTGTGGATGTGATGAACTCGGAGGCCATCGCTTTTAAAGTGATTTCCTGGGGACCCGTGCCGGTTGCGTTGCCATAGTTGCAAGTTATATACCTAAACGAGGCACAGTGTTGCTTTTAACTGGAGCGGATAATTATGTAGTGAAAGTGAGGCATTCACTAGGCGCTTAAGAAGAATGAGGTTAATTAATGCAATTTTGCTCTATAAATAACTATTCAGCTTGTTTTATAAAAAAATACTTGGATATATAAATATAAATATGTCAACCTTAATACAAACGTATGTAGATTAATTGGAGTAGTCCTTTGGGCAGGAAGTGTTGAAGATATTACTTCAATTTTAATTAAACAGGACTAAGAAACTAAATCTTTACAAATTGTTAACGTAAAATTTTATAAAAATTATTTTGTGTTAAATCAGAGGATATGTTAGGATATATTTAAAAAGTTGGACAATGATAATGAGCTATTTTGAAAACAGAAGATTGTTATTCGACACTGACGATGGTACTCGGAGCTAAACTGACTCTCTAAACTCTCGAGTAAAGTACCGCACGGCTCGGTCGTAGGCCCTCTACAAAGGAATTTGACATACCAACCATAAAACATGAAAACAATCGCGTATGCGGCTGACTTCATAGCGGTAGCAGTGGCTTACCATTTGAACGATCTCCGTTTATATGCAATAATAGCTTTAATGGTCTCATAAATTTAGATTTGGCTGAACATAAAACAGAAGTATTGCTTGCACATGGAAGGTACAAGAGAGGGTAACACTCACCATTTTTAAAAACGACATTATTTTACAGCCGCAGCTAAAGTATCTCGAAGTCTCTCGAAAGTATTTAAATTTGACGAACACCTGGCGTATACTTCGGGTAAAGCAAGCACATATAATGCTATGTCAAGAATGAATGGACCAGTTATCAGAGCCGAATGTAGGCGTAAAAAAGTGGAGAAAACATACTTACTAATCCTGGACATACATTCGTGGATGGATAGACAATATACCTATACTTCCACCTAACCCAAACACTGAGTGGACGGTTGAGGCATGTTTTAGAAACTACCTATTGCAATTCCATCACTACCTAAGTCCGTACTGTTCGACGTGTACTGAATGCATAGAAAGCTCTGAGCACGTATTTTATCAATGTCATCTTTTTTCAGATTCAGTTGGCGGTAGTTTTTTGGTGGAACATTTGACAGCATTACTCTGGTAAATATAATGCTGTCAGCGAAACGTCAGCTCTATTATTCGGCGTCAATCAGTATGATAGATGAGACTTAAACTCTCTCTTTCCTTCCCATGAAGTAATATTTAATCTGCTGGTTCCGTGGGAGAGATACGAGTTCGGTGTAGGTTAGGTTTAGCGAACTACAGTTACGCACATCGGATTTCGATGCTTCTTACTACTATAAGAAAAGACATTGTTGTAGAGCTGGTATATGTACCTGGCCACAGCGGAAGAATCGTAGGTTACTGCATAGCTGATGGGCTCGCAAAAAAATACACCCAGAAACCGGTTTAAAATCTCTTTGAAGTAGCTGATTCTTAACACCTTTCTTTCTTCTGAACTGTTCCGAATTTGCATGACTAAAGCTTAAACTCTTGGGAGTTCAAACTTCAAGGAAGCCAGCTAAGTTAGTGAGAATAGGTTAGTGTAAGCAGAATTGGTCTCTAAGCAGAATTTGGTCTTTGGCGACTTATAAGGTGTGTGTGGTAAGTATATGTGTAGTAATCCAATTTCCATCATTAACCCAGCCATTTAAGCCATTTACTTAAAGTCTTCGATGTTATTCGGTTAATCGGAAATATATTAAAGGTCAGTACGTGACAATAAAGGAAGAAACCTGCTGATTCCAAAAAATGTGGATAGATATAAAAAAAMCCCAGGAAAGAGCCGACTAACATCGAAGTCCTTTGCTGACCTGAGTAATATGCAGTTTTTTAGCGCATAATAACATTTCGAGCACTCGYCATTCAAAAAGAGACTGTTTAAAACAGAATACACAATAATTTCGATGGAAACTMTTGAAAGTACCAATAACTGTATCGGGATTATTAGAGAAATTTTATTACAATATTGAATGGTGATTAAATGATATGGTGCAATAAATTGGCTAAATTGTAAAAAACTTATCACCTACGAAAAGTCAATTCACCTCTTTCAAATATTGTAATAAATGCAACACGSAGAGCTCGCTCGTTACTGTAAACATTCTTTCCTAGAACTTAACCTATAGAAAAGTTAAAAGTAATATCAGTTAACGGTAAATCAAATRTGTTTCTTTCAATCACATTTTTTGTTTTTCAGTCAAATTTTTCTGTTATCAAAACTCGAACACAAGTATTYGTTCAAGGGAACTAGTTAATAGACCACTGTCATTATAAAATAATAASACAAAACGTTCTTAGGAAGAAAACGTTGTGTGCGAAATTACGATATCTCAGTTATTGGAGGAGTAGTTTGCGTATACTCAAATAGAAACATAATCAACTCAGCTACTGAGAATATCACGAAGAATCAATACGTTAGCKACGATGCGTTATATGGTGCTAAAACCAAGAGTTGTCGGCTATAACTTCGTCCTTTTTTTACAAATAGCTTCGCGTAAAATACGCATAATACTCAAATAGTACTCCCTGTGRACAGTTTTGTCGGTCARRAGGAATTCGGAGTGCACCACACTTCAAAARTCGAAMAAARACAAAACTATAATACTCTCTTTAGCAACTTTGTTGCGAGAGTATAAAAATTTCTTTGACGTGGTCTTTTCGACTTTGGCACACCTTTMCCACGATCTTTGGCCGATTTATAGTCTGTTTACGGGTTGTGAGCATAGATTCAAGRCTCRTCATCAGTAAYAATACKTTTCATGTCGTWCTGRTAGCACCAAATCCATTAWTTTATTGACGTCTSCGCGTTGGAATAACACGGGTCAACACAAAATTTCACCGTAACTTTAAAGTTGTAAATTTCCATGATTTAGGACGTAATTAGCTTCTTTTTTTTTATTTAGAAAACCGCTTTAACGATATTTTTTAAAAAATGTGTGGTT